ACCCGGGGCCCCTGTCTGCACACTGGGGCCCGTGTGCTGCGGGAGGGGCAGATCCTAGGAGCCTCCTCCATCAGGAGCCGAACGGGGTAACCAGCGGCAAGGCAACGTCTCTGCACCCAGCCGTGTCCGGCGGCTGCAGGGATGAAAAGCAGCGGACAGGGACTTGGGACAATCTCTAAATCGACGTACAAATAACTGTCTACGAGACTGGGCACGGATGGAGAAGTGCCCTGCCCTGCCTCTACCCTCTCCAGAGATCCTCAGACAGAAGTGCGAGTATTTTATGTTCTCTGCTGTGACAAGGCCCTGGCTCTGCTGCCTTCACAGGAGTGCACGGGGTCGTGTTCATGTACGAGACTCACTACCCCCACCTTGCCCAGTGGTGCCTGTTACTCTGAGGTGTTGCACTGGAGTTCGGTGAAAAATAAAGCTGACTTAAGGAGAAATCAGTGTTTTAATCAGTGTGGGGCATGAGAACTGGATTTCCTTTCTGACTGCTTTCATCTCCGAAGTCTCTAAAGGAATCCACCCAATAAAAAAAAGGCCAGAAAACGCAGTGCCTGTTAGAGATTGACAGAAAAACAGTTTCAGAGGAAATCAGTTGTACCTATGTGGGCCCTAGGCGAATCATCCATCACCCTCCATGTAACAGCGGGGAAGGGGACTTCCCTGAGGTGCGAGAGGGTGGGTGGTCATCACCACCAGCAAGTTTCTGGCCTGGGGGGGGGTGGGTGGGTGGTGCGCTCAGGAGCACAGCTCTGCCTACAAGGGCTACAGGCTATCATTGAAGAGATTTATTTCCAAAATGAAAATACTTAAAAAGTGAAAGATTGCAAGAACTCAGGTCTAAAGGTAGCTTTCTGGATTTGCACAGAACAGAAATACTGTATACATTAATTCCTCCTCTTGCCGGCTCACAAAACCGCACTGGTGAAGGTGAGCAGGAGCATTTGAAAGAAATCCCAACAGGAGTAACAGAGACTTAAGCCATCCGAGATTTCAAAAGGACACCCAGAAAGTTTTATTCCGAATCTTGACCACATCAATACACATAAATTACCCTTCCAATACCACAACTATTTCTGAGTTCCAAATCAAATCAACCATTGCTAAAATGTAGAGATTCAATGAGAAATAACATCTTCCCAATCTGTCTACAGAGGTGGGAGACCAAGGACGTTGCCTTTTATGGATGTACAGAGAAATGAAAAATCTTAGGAGTCTGACAGACATACGAAAGTTCCTCTCCTTCCTGCTGGACCCGTTCCAATAGAAAGTAAGCATTTCAAGAACATAAGAGAATTTTAAAGTAAAGAAACACAAAAATCTTACAAGTGTTTAAAAAAAAAAAGAAAGAAAATGTGGATATCAATTGGAAAAATCTCTTCATTCACCACTTCTATCACCCAGACACCTGATCATGATCACATGGCTGGGATTGGGGGGAGGGGCAAGGGAATCCTCAAAGCTTATACAGATATAACTTCGCAGGTAACTGTGCAGATATGTGTTTGTGCATATACATGTGTGCTAACTACATACTTTCACTTTAATTAAAAAAAAAAAAAAAGCCAGTACGTGTATATCGACTTCTTCACCAGCCAGGTGTGAAGGGTATAGTCAAATTCTGTGTGAAATGGTATACAAACAGCACCTTGATGGGGCAAATTAAGTCGGTCGCTCAGGCGTGCTGCCTGTGTCTGCTGGTACGCAGTGGCAGGACTGTGTGGTCCCCAGCACCCCACTTGTTTCAGGAAGCACCTTGTTGCACACAGTTCAAAGGATCAGGAAATATGTACTCATAGGTAAAATACTCATGTAAAGAAACCCAGAATCAGTGCTCTCTGATTTGCTAGTACAGTCCCGAAAGAGAAAATACAATCAGGCGAGGAGGGAGGGGAAGGGGCCACCGCAAAAACCTCATAAATATGCTTCACTGGGTCTCAGAATTCAGCTAAGACACCCAGCACCTGAATGGGTGCAGCAGAGCTGAACAATCATAAAATTCTTCCTTACTCTTTCAACACTTTCACCAAGAAACTGAACACACCGTAAAAGGCTAATGCAACGGAAGTTGACCTCTTGGTGCTGACTGCCTCATGTTCCGATGACTCTGAGCAGCAACTGGTCAGTTTACATATTATCCTTGAGAATTAGTTTGTTTTCACCAAATCTCTTTCAAAGCAGGGTCTTCAGTGTGTAGGGGCTTGATTTCATGCTTTTGGGTTTTGCAAATAAGATAAAAACATCCGCGGAAATGCTGTCATTCTATAACACACAGCCCACAGCCTGGTTATTGAGCAATCCAGGATTTGAGTAAAGGCAGCACTGTGTATTTTATTCTTCAGATACTCCTCCCTTTTCAAAAACACTTTTAATGCTCTCGTAAGACTAGTAAGTGTTTAACACTCGTCTGTAAAGAACCGCTAACCTATCACAAGGGAAGTCTCCACCTGGGCTTGGAGGATAGTGGAGGTTCTGGCCACCTGGCTGCTCCCCTTCCACAGACCCACCTCTTTCCTATCAACTGGGCCAATGCCCCAGGCTGTGACCAAAGTGGCCCACATCCTCGGTGCTCCCCCACACCCCCAGACACCTAGCAGCACGAGGGGTCTTATGCTGGCGCAGGCTGGCCTGATCTCCCTTCCATGGGCGCACCTACTGTCCACAGGGGAGCTCATGCACTCCTGGCTGTGCTCTGCTTCACCCCTGCCCAGACCTGTTCCCCTAACATCTCCACGGGTGCAAAATGGGCTCACGACTCCTGAACCTCTCTCCTCCAACCAGACCCTTCCCTGGTGTCCCTAGTCCACACGCACCAGCCACAAGCCTGGAGATTCTCCTTCCCCCTCAGCCACCAAATCTTGTTGCTTCAGGGTTTAATGGGATCAACTTCACCTGCTGCTTGCTCTCCACCTCAGAGGCTTCTGCCAGTGTGAAACTGCTCCCCTCACCCTATTCACCTCTCCACTCACTGGCGTCTAGCATTTTCCATTCCCGTGTCACTGTGCTCCTTGCCCTGTCCCCAACGCCTGTCAAGTATGCCTGCAGGACGGGCCTGCCGCACTGGACACCGCTCATCTTCTAGAACTCCCCACCCTGTGGCTTCTGCAGAATCTGCTAAACCCCCTGGTCCCTGTCAAGCCTCTCTGCTGACTTAATAGACAACCTCTTCTCTGCATAATGGCCATCTGGTGCCGTCCTTCTGGATTCTAGACTTATCTGCTCCTCCTCTCTACAGTCTTTCTCTTAAGTATGTTTGTCAACTGCCACAGGGTGTCACCGTAAAACCTTCACGTCCAGCCCCGGCTGCTCCTTTCAACTTTAGCCTTGTGCCCCAGGCACCTCCAACCCAGCAAGACTGACCCTGGGCTCCCCAGCCCCAGGCCCCCTTCTAGCCCACTCGTCGGCTCGGCCCGCCACCACCGGGAGCCTCATCAACCAGGCTGCACTTCTGAGTGCCATTCACCGCAGGGGCTCAACCGCCAGACTGCAAACCTTCCCCCCTCAGCGAAGTCTCCCTGCGTCCACTGTTGCTGAAGCTGCTTTCGATTAAGGTGCTTATCCTCCTTCACTCATTTCCTCCTTCCCGTTCTCGACAGGTACCTACGGAACTCCTACGAGGTACTGACGTCTCGGCTCTGGTGCAGCCCAGGTGTGTGTGGCAAATTGCAACGTTATCAGCCATCAGTGGCAGAAACTGGTGGGCTCAGAGCTACGAGGGGAGAGTCAGAGTGCGAGCTGGGCCTACGGGGGGCGGTGCGCTCAGCTTGGTCTCGGGAGGGCCTCCCCATCTGCAGCAGTTGGCCTGCAAGTGCTCTGCCCGAGACGCCACTCGAGCACCTGCGAGCACCTGCAGACGAGGTAGGGCGGCTGCAGCAGAGGCCGGGGCGGGGGCGGGAGCCCTCCCGGCTGCGCCCACTGGGCACGGGCCATCAGGGAGTGCCCGGAGGGTGTGAGGAGCAGGGCACGGGGGGAGGGGGGGGCACCGGCCGGGCGCGCGGGAGCCTGGGGGCCGTCCCCGGGCGGCAAGGCCCACCTCCTCGGGGCACCGCGCTCAAGCTTTCGCTCGCGTCCCTTTGGAAAGAATTTCAAAAATCCGCGCCCCTGCGCACGCGGCGAGGTTGGCATCCGGAGCGGGCACGGGTCAGGGCGTCGCACAGGCTGGCGTCACGGGCCCGCACTGCCCGGGCGTCTCTGAGTCGGGAACCGCGGGCAGCGCCGCCCGGGCCCACCCCGACCCCGGCCGCCCGCTCCCCCCACCCCGCGGCCCGCGGCCCGCGGCCCGCGGCGCCCGACCCCGGCCCCGCCCCCCGCGCCCCGGCCCCGGCCCCGCCGCCTCGCGCGCGCCCGCACCCCGGCCCGACCCGGCGGACCCCGCGCCCCGCGCTCCCCGAGGGCAGGCCCGTTTCTGTCGACTCATGAGCCGGCGGGCGGCAGCGCGCTCCCCGCCCCGCCGGCGCCCCGCAGCCCGCCTCGGCCCTCGCCGCGCAGGGCTCCCCGGGGCGCGCTCGGCCGCCCCCTCCCAGGCCCGCGCTCGGCGGGCGCTCGGCGGGCGCTCGGCGGGGGGGGGCCCTCGGGGCGGCGCGCAGCACCGGCGCCCGCCCTCCCCCTCGCCCGCAGCCCCTGCCCTGCGAGCTCACACAAGCCACGGAGAGGAAGCGGGGACCTTCGCCTCCGGCTCAGCCTAGATGTCGCCATCGCGGCGCGAAGTTCCCCCACAACGACACCTCGACGGCGGCCATCTTGCCCGGGGTCGGCCGACGCCTTTTGACTCTCGCGCCAACCCGTAGAGCGAGGGCGCCGCGAGCGCCGTTCTGCGCAAGGACGGAAGCCCGAGTCCCGCGCTTCCGGGCGGCCGCCGCGCCCCGCCCCCCCGCGGGGGCCCCTGATTGGCTGCGGGCTCGGGGCCTGCGCTCGCGCGGTCTCGCGGGAGGTGCCTGAAGGGGCGGCCGCCGGTGCGTCTGCCCTCCCGCTCCCCGCCCCCGCCCCCGCCCCCGCCGCCGCCGCGGCTCCCGCCTCCGCCGCGCGTCCCCCGCGCCCCGCCGCCCTCCCGGCTCGGCCCGGCCCCGCGAGCGGCCGTGGAGACCGCGCAGCGCGGGAGGCGGGCTCCGCCAGGTAAGATGGCCGCGGCGGCCCCGGGCGGCCGGGCCGAGCTTCCCCGGGGAGCGCGGCGGGCCGGGGTGGGGCGGGGAGGAGCCCGGGAGGAGCCCGGGAGGAGCCCGGAGGCGCGCGGGACGCGGCCCGGGGGGGCGGGGCGGGGCGGCGGGGCCTCCTGGGCGCGCACGTCCAACTGCCTCCGGGTCGGGGGGCCCCGCGGCGCCGGGCGCTGTAACCGGGCGTTTATATTCCTAAAGGGACAGCGCTTCCCGCGAAGGCTCCGACGCGCAGAGCGGCCGGCCGGGGGGCGAGGAGCCGCGAGGAGCCGCGAGGAGCCGCCGCGCCTGTGCCCCGCGGGGACGACGGCGTTTATGACCACCAGCCGAGCGGGCCCGGAGCCGAGCCGGTGAGGACGGGCGCCGCCGTGCCGCGCGGGGCCGGCTGCCTGTGCGTCCTCGGTTAGTTCCCGTGGACCATCCAGGACCAGGACCGTGGTCTGAGCAACGCGTGTGCTGGCCTGGAGCCCCGGGGCACGGCGTCCCGCGTGTGCCCTCTGCGCCCCGTGCGGCACCGTCCCGGCACCCCCGGGGCCGCCTCTCCTGGCCTCGCCCCCGGCCCGCGCGTCCCTCCGCACGCGCGCCCTGGGCCATCGGTGCGGCATCCTGGCATCCTGGCCTTCACGCCCCTGTGCGGCCGCTGTCTCCCTAATCACTGTTTCCAGCGCTGAGCTGAGGACCTGTGATCCTGGGGCCGGCTGGCCTTCCCAGCGAGGAGTCAGAGTCAGCCCAAACTTGCTCTACTCCTCCGACCTGTTCCTCTGTTCAAGCCTTCCTCTTCGGCCGAGTCTCAAGCGCTCCTGCTTGTTCATCTCTCTACATTCAGTCCGGAGCAGGGCCGTTGACACGTCCGTAGAACCTTCACCCGCCGTGTGGCCGTGTGTCCGACCTCTCTGCCGCTGCGCCCCTTTGGTGGCCCCTTGCTGGCTTTGCTGCTCAGCGCTTGCCACCCCGATTCCACCGTCTAGCTTTTTAATTGAGGGGAGCACTCTCGCGTGTACTTAGGTGGCATTAAGTGGGCCCCGCAACTCACAGGTTACGGGGGAAGAATAGGAAGTAGTGGGAGTGGAGGGCTGCCCAGCTGGTACTCCCGGGGCCCGTGCCTGTCCGCCCTGGAGGATCGTGTCTTTACTTAAAGCAACAAAACGCTTTCTTACGTTCCTATTTGTTGCTGTCGTTTTTTGGTTTTGTTTGTTTTTTTTTTTTTTTTTTTTTGTCCTTTATAAAACCGTCTGGCATCCCTGGGCCCTGCTGCAACTCACTCGTTCGGCTGATTTGTAAGAGATCCCTGTGGCTGTGTTCCTATTTTAATTGGTTTAGCAAATTCTCTCGTGTCGCTGCGTGATCCGAGCACTTTCTCAGCAGTCCTAAAATTCAAGGAGCTCTGAAAACTAAAAGTTCTTTTTTTTTTTTTTTAATAACTGATGGCAAAAATCTGACCGGGTGAAAGCTTTTAATAACTTCTGTTGCACTCAGTGTGGGTACTCAGACGTGTCCCCGGAGAGGTAATATTTAATTGTGGGGTGCTGCCCCAGACTGCAGTGAGAATGTCATGTGACGTAGATAAGTTGTGCCATTTAGGCTTCATACAGTCTGCAAAATTTTTAATTCTGAAACATACTTCCCCAAGGGTTTGGGGCCTGGGATTGTGGTTCTGTGGGCCACGGTTTGTCCGTGCTGCTGTTGAATGAACATCTGGGTGGGTGGCTTCCGTGTTTTTGCTGTTTTGAGCAGTGCTTCTGAGTGGGTGTGTGCGTGTCATGTGCTCAGTGGTAAGGTTGAGGGTCTCAGCCTCGTAGAATTGCTGGGCTGTGAGCAGCGTGGGTCAGCTCTGCAGAGAGGGCCAAATATGTTTGCAGTTCCAACTGCTCAGACAGCAGCGGCACAGTTCAGGGGAACAACTGTCTGCATTGACACTCGGTGGAGTCAGACTTCTTAGCGTTGGGCAGTCTGCTGAATGTCTAGCGGCAGACTTCTTGAGGGCGTACGTGAAAGAGCTGGTGCTTCCTTAGTGCATGTCCCTGGTGGCTGCCGCCTGTGCTCAGGAGAGAGTTGATCTAAACTCCTCCCTTGGCCTGTAAGGCCTTACTCGGCATGACGCTCCACACTCTTGACCTGGCAGTTTGGAGGCACTCGTCTCCTCCTTGCACACATTCTGTCTCCCAACATCTCGGCCTTCTTTCTGGTCCCTAGGCTGCGCTTGGCCTTCAGGCCCTTTGCACCTGCTGTTCTCCAGATTTAAAGTATCTTCCCTCTGTTACTTCATACCGTGTCACTGTATCTTTTTTTTCGTGTCATTGTATTTATCTCTGAAATGATCATAGTCGGCATAGAATTCTTCAAAAAAAAAAAATTTTTTTTTTTTTAGCAGTATAGCTGAGACTCTGTGTTAACTTTCTCGCGTACAACATAGTGATCTGACAACTGTCCAGGTTATGCTGTGCACACAAGTGCAGCTGCCCCCTCTCACCGCACAAGCCTATTGCGTTGCCGTTGAGTGTATTCCCAATGCTGTACCATTCATTCCAGTGATCTTCACTAATTTTTACATCTTTTTTTTCCTGTAGAAATAAATCAGAATGAGTTATGCCGAAAAACCCGATGAAATCACGAAAGATGAGTGGATGGAGAAACTCAATAACTTGCATGTCCAGCGGGCAGACATGAACCGCCTCATCATGAACTACTTGGTCACAGGTAATGGCTCACAGCAAGGATGCCACCTGTCAAACAAAACTGCTTTTTTGTACACACAGTTGGAACTTTATCATCTAAGTTCTTGGTAAAGCTAAGTTGTGTTTGGGTATCATAAAAACACAATGCTGATTTAACGAGTTCATAGAGTACCATAGTAAAGATACAGTCTTTTGGAAATGGGATGGTGATTCCAGTGTCTGAGCTCCAAGGCCTGTTCCTTGGCCTGACATTTTTACAGTTAATGAGTATAACTAAGAATGTTCTGAAGCACGTTGAGAGTCCTGAGTAACTGATCTGGCCAGTCTGGTAAATTATACTGGACTGTTTGTAGAAGGCGCACCTAAGTCAAAAGAGAAAGGGGGAGGGGCAGAAACACACAGAAAGAAACAAACGGGGTCTGTAACTAACAGTCGTCCTTGGTACTGGGAAGGAAAAGGGTGATTCTGTACATGATCAGAAAACGGAGTTGTTTCAAACAGGTATGAGTCTCCTTCCCGTTGTTCACGGTACCCCCTTCCTGTGAAAGCTGATGAAGGGAATGTCTGCCTATAGCGGGGGTGGGGCACATACCCTGCTTGGATGTTGAAGAGAACTGTGGGCCCACAAAGAGGCAGGAGTGGCCAGGTCCATTCAGCCTGGGAGGGCATAGCCAGTGCGTCCAGACGCGCCGGGAGCCCCCTGCAGCTTCTTGGCCTGGAACCGCAGCCCTCTGTAAGGAGCCCATATGGCACTTGGCTTCTCGGCATTCATTCTCACCCCTGGCGGGTAGGTGAGAGGTTTTTGGGTGGGATAGGGGGCAGTGGAATACATTCTTTTCATCTTCTGTGTGGAGCATAACTAGTAAGCCACGGAGATGTTAATACCTAATCCCTAAGAAGGTGAGGGTCATGTGGAAGATTATTTGATGTGATGGGCTTTCTAGGGGAGGAAAAACCCTTGCATTAATGTCTTACTAGCTTCCTGAGCACTGAAGATGGTTGTTGTTTTCAGAGGGCTTTAAGGAAGCAGCAGAGAAATTTCGAATGGAATCTGGGATTGAACCTAGTGTGGACCTAGAAACACTTGACGAGCGGATCAAAATCCGGGAGATGATCCTGAAAGGCCAGATCCAGGAGGCTATTGCGTTGATCAACAGTCTCCATCCAGAGCTCCTGGACACAAACCGGTACCTTTACTTCCACCTGCAAGTGAGTTTCATTTGAGAGATACCTGGTTTGTGGCCACTCCATAAGGCTATACATGGTGATTTCAGAAGTAACGAGGCTAATTTGCGTTAATAGAGTATTGTTTCAGTTTATGAGGGGAAGGGGTTTCATTTAGCTGGTGCCTTTCATATTTCAGAAGCTGTTTTTTACTTTAAAAATGCTAACTTAAAAAATAAAAAAAATAATAAAAATGCTAACTTAGGGGCACCCGGGTGGCTCAGTTAGGCACCTGACTCTCGGTTTTGGTTCAGATCTCAGGGTTGTGAGATCAGGCTCTGCTCTTCGCTTCTCTCTTCCTCTACCCCCCTCCCCACTTATGTGTGCCCTCCCTCCCTCCCTTCCTTCCTCCCTCTCCTTTCTCTTTCTTTCAAACAAATCTTATTTTAAAATGCTAATTTGATAATTCAGGGATGCTAGGCAATTGTCCTTTGAGTAGAAAGTAGTGCTGCACTGCCGGGCATTGTGTGCCTGGGCGTGGGTGTGTAAGTGTGTCTGCCTTTGCCGGTGACCAGCAACAGCACCTCATAGAGCTGATCCGCCAGCGTGAGACCGAGGCAGCGCTGGAGTTCGCACAGACCCAGCTGGCCGAGCAAGGCGAGGAGAGCAGGGAATGCCTGACGGAGATGGAACGCACTCTGGCCCTGCTGGCCTTTGACAACCCGGAAGAGTCGCCGTTTGGGGACCTGCTTCATATGATGCAGAGGCAGAAGGTAAGACCTGCGAAGGGGTCCTCCTTCCATCAGTGAGTGTCCAGAGACGGACTCAGGAACCACCGTGTGTTGAGTTTGTGGTGACAGAGGCCATCTCTGGCTGTGGGACATGCACTCTTCCTGGCATGTAATCTTTCACTGCGGGAAGCCGGGAACGGAGCATTGTGATTATACGATTCTCAGACCTCTTGGTCGGCCTCTCTCCTGTATCTTAATCTTATTCCTGTTCTGTTTGTTTGGAGACTCTTAGAAATAGGTGTTCTCAGCATTTTTACTTCAAATCCCTGTTCCTCTCCTTGCTGGTCTGTTGCGCTGCAGCCTCCGTGATGGCTCGTCACCTCCCCGGAGGGCTTGCCACACCTGTTCCCTCAACGCTGGTTCCGGTGGGACTTGGGTCACGCACACTGCCCTCCACCCCCCAAACCTGGCTGATGGCATTTCACGGCTCTCCAGGCCAGATGTGATCGTTGCTGACCAGACTGTGAGCTCCTTGTGGATGAAAAATGTGTGTTTAACGTCCCCTGGAGCGCCCCCTGGTTACGGGCTACACGTTCATTTAAATAAATAAGCTTGCCACATAAAAACAGCTGAAGTAGAAGATGCACGTGATAAGAGACTCTCTTCCTCTGCACATGTAGTGGTTTTTATTGGATGTGTTTATTTTCTAGGTGTGGAGTGAAGTTAACCAAGCTGTCCTAGATTATGAAAATCGTGAGTCAACACCCAAGCTGGCAAAATTACTGAAACTACTCCTTTGGGCTCAGAATGAGCTGGACCAGAAGAAAGTAAAATATCCCAAAATGACAGACCTCAGCAAAGGTGTGATCGAGGAGCCCAAGTAGAGTCCGTGCTGGTGGCCCTGCGCTTCCCCAGCACGGACTCCTCGGAGCAGCTGTCTGTGACTCAGAGATTTTTACTGCAGTAGAGAACTCTTTTTTCCCCTTTTTCTTTCTTTCTTTCTTTCTCTTTCTTTCTTTCTTTCTTTCTTTCTTTCTTTCTTTCTTTTTCTTTTTCTTTTTCTTTTTCTTTTTCTTTTTCTTTTTCTTTTTCTTTTTCTTTTTCTTTTTTTTCTTTTTCTTTTTCTTTTTCTTTTTCTTTTTCTTTTTCTTTTTCTTTTTCTTTTTTGACTCGGCATCTTTTTTAAAGGGAAACGTGGCCCTTTTAAGTGCTGGAAACCGTGCAGTGAATGGCACTGTCTCTCTGGCAGTGCGGTGCAGACTCTGTGCGTGCTCTGAAGGCAAGGACGGGCTGCGGGGCGCTCCTGCTGTTTGGCTCCTGAAGGATCACACCCCCGTCGAGTGCTCGGTTAGGAGGGGATATTGTTGAACTGAGGCCTCCCACTCACACCTACAAAAAGCACTGATCGTTATTTTGCTTTGTTAGCTTGTAGGCAGAACATATGTTTTCTCAGATCTCCCAAGACTCGTCAGGCCTTTGTGGAGAAGTTTTCTCTTACCCCTTGGTTTTTTGTTTTTGTTCTTTCATAGGAAAGACTATATAAATTTGTAAATCCTAATTCAAAGACTTCTTTTGTGTGAGGGCATTGAGTTTGATTTGTTTTCCCTTTTGGTCTGGGTTGTGTGGCTTTTGGGGTGATGTGTGTGTGAGGGGCGGGGCTGTGTGTTTTTTAATTTTTTAAATATATATTTTGGTGCTGGTTGTGGTGAGCGACTTTCCTAGTGGATCAATGAACCTTCTCTTCTAGGCAGTTTTGTTGAAAATAAAGGTTTCTCTTTGATCTCAAGAATGACCAAAATGTCCTCTAAAAAGTTTTAATCATCTCAAACCATTTGCTTTCGGGGCTTCCATCCTGGTGGTGATGGTGGTGACATCAGCTAGTTCCTGCAGCCAGAGGGCCGCTTGCCCCGTCTGGTTGGTCTGGTGTGTGTGCTTGGGAGCCGACCCCCGTGGGCAGAGGGGCGCCGGTGCTGGCAGGTGTGTGTCGGCTGCAGGCTTGCCCTGACCGGGAGTGCAGCAGGTCAGTGTGTGGTCACTGGCTTGTGCTGTGCTGCTCGTGAGTTCACAGGCATCCTGAATCTGTGCTCTGTGCCCTCCCGCATCCCGCCGCCAGGGCAGGGGCTGGGACGCGGGTGCCCTTGTGACTCGGTGTCTCGGCGTGGGGCAAATACGTGCACATGGACTCACTGCAGGGTGCCCCGGGCATGGTCCTGTAGGGCGATCCTTACAGAGCTCCTGACGGACCCCGCAGGCCGAGTCATGTGGAGGTGGTGCTGACTGTGCCCTGGGGCGCAGGGCCTGTGTGGCCATGGGTGGCTCTGGCCCGTCGTCTGGTGGGAGCTGCCCGCTGCCGCAGTGGCTGGGGCTCAGTCGCCCTGGGCAGATCCTGGTCCCAGGATGGAGTCTGGCAGCAGGGGCTTGGCGGAGGGAGGTACCCAGAGCCACTGACGCGGGGAGCGTGCTTCCATGACCAGAGAGGTCAGGCAGGCCTGTGGAGACGCCCGTAGGTCAGGTGGTGTGCCGCTGATGGCCGGGGCCATGTCCGCCGTGAGCCCCTGGGCCTGGGCATTGTCGCTAAGTGCTGGGGCATCAGCTGTTGGCCCACTTCGTGTCTGCCTTCCGCTTGCACGTGTGTTCCGGGCGTAGTGGTTTGGAGCGGCGGACAGGCGCCTGCCCTGGGTGGTCACCGAGGCAGAGGCAGAGGCAGGGCGGTGCAGGCTCTGTGGGCCCTCCCGGCCTCTGACTGCCCTCCTGCTGCCCTTTTGCTTTTGTGAGGATGAAGGTGGGGGTTCTCCTCGGTGCCCGGGAGGGAGCCGTTGTCCCCTCCAAATGTGACCTTTCTTTGGGGCCATTTCCTCTGAGGCTTGAGGGTGACAAGTTGGAGCAGAGGGTTTTAACCCTTAGGTAATTAATCGTCGCCTAGAGCAGGAGCTGGAAGAGAAGCACGAGCAGAGAGGTGTCGGTGACGCTACACGTTTGAGAAGCACCAGCATGTTTCTAGTGAGTTTTTCTTAGTGTATATAAGGCCCTTTATGTGCATAATTAATATACGATCCCCTGACACGCTCTGCTCTTCACATGAGAGGGTGTGAGATGGGTAGTGACGGGAGGTCCTGTACGCAGGAGTCACCCCTGAACCACCAGGGCCCAGACGGGGCTCGTCTTGCACCGGTTCACCTGTCGGGCCCATGAGTGACGTCACGAGTAGGTGCTGACGCCAGTGCGAGCTGGCTGTGGTGCCACGGGGACCCTCAGCTGTGCCCTGTTGTCCTTGCTTCTGTCGGCGGCTCTGCGCTCCTGCGCCGCCCCTGACTGGGGACCTGCTTCGGCAGGAGTGGCTTTGCCGCTTCCCTGCAGTCTCTGTGTCTTCAGCAAGCACACTAAATTAAGCCATTTTGAGATAATGAACATTAAATATAATTTGATTTTTCTTTCTCTCCTTTGGATCTCGCCATTGTGTTTTCTGCAATGTAATAGTTTACATAGTTTATTCTTTTAATGTTTTCTTGTGGAAAGTGCCTTGAAATAAATAAAATTTGAGAATATTCTGTGCTCCACGTTCCTGATACCACGAAGTTGTGGGAGGGCTCTCTCCGAGGCCTAGGGACTATTGCAAGTCCAGCGAGAGCTGGTATATTTTGCCATTTGCATTAAGGTTCGCAGGTTCTAGAAAAGGTATTTGAGATGAGCGTCTCCCAGGCACGGGACTGAAGGCCGTGTGTGGGGCCTCGGGGACGAGGCGGTGGCTCTTCCCCGCAGTTGGGACGCGTCCTGAGGAGGGTGTGTGTCAGGCGGCGGGGGTCTGCTTCCCTCTGGAGGGCTAGTTGTGGGACCAGCTCTTCTGGGTTTCAGAAGGAACCGTGCACAGTGTATGTTGAAGACCATGGTGTCCTTGGGGCCACGGAGCAGGAGCTGCTTCCGGGAGTTGCTGTGGGGTCCCAGCGCGGACAGGAGGCCTGGCCAGTGCGTCGGAGCCGCCGAGCCGGGCGCGGGGCCATGAGCTGCAGGCCGCCCCGCCCCGGAGCTGAACAGGTGCGGCTCTCCGCCACGTACTCGGATACCTTGTGCTCCGTTGCTACAGCGGTTACATTTCCATTTCAGAAACGTGTTGCTCTTTCGGATTTGAGGGTCAGTCGTGACGTCCGCACCGGTCATGTGACTGGTACCGCTGTGACCCACTGCGAGCGTCCTCGCTCCCCCGGTCTGAGTCCACTGTATTCCCACCGGCGTGGGTGCCCGCCACTGCGTCCTCTGAAGGATGCAGAATAGGTTGCTTTTGCTGCCTGTTCTTAATTTCATGGTAAAACTTTTCCCATTTTTCTCAGAGGGGTCACCACTGGGTCTCCTGTCCTTTCCCCACCAAGAGTCTCCAGTAAGAATAAGGAGTTAGATACGCTGCACGTTCCATTGGCGTCCATCTGTCAGAACTGGTGGAAGGAAAGTTTAGTTTCACGCATCTTTATGCTTTGCTGTCCTGTCGCCCTCTGACCAGCTCCGTCTGGTGTCACTTGTGCATGCGTGTCAGCGTGTGCTGTGCGTGCGCCGTCTGAAATCTGCCATCCGTTTTCTACAGCCTGTTGCTTTTGTGAAGGAGATAGATTGGGGCCACCACTGCATGATTTTAACCTGAAAAGTTATTTTTTAAAAAACTTAGAAATATTTGCAGACATTCAAAGTAGAGGGGCTGCTGCTGTGAGCCCCGGGGCCCTTCTCCCCGTGCGTCTCATGCCACGTCTGGCCGGTGCGTGCATCCCATGCTGTTGGCTCCCTGAGCACTTTGTGCAAAGGCAGTTGTGGGACCCCCGACAGAGACTTGGAGTGACAGCTCCCCAGTGCCTTCTCATGAGTGCAGAAGGGAGCATGCCCTGGGCTGGAGCATGGCATCCTGAGCTGTAGCCCTCCTGGTGTTTGGACTTTGGAGAGGGGAGAGGAAGCCTCCCCGTCACTCCTCCCCAGGTGGCCATGGCATCTCAGCCCTTCTTCTCCGCCAGCAGGAGGCAGTGCAGTGGGTCCTGGTGATGTATGCACGCAGAGCGCTGGGCACTTGGGTTTGCACTCAAGACCCTCTGAGGCGTTTGGCAGAAGCCACAGCCCCTGGCACGGGAGGCCTGCGGTCTTGGATGTTGTGCCTTAATTCTGAGATACCATCCAGGCACTTGTCCCATCCTTGTGATTTACTTCTGTGGATGTAAACGCAGTGTTTGAATGGGCCTTGGGCCTCTGTGGCTGTGTGGACTCTGCAGGGGGCGGGTGCCCTGAGCCGCTCTGCCTCCGCAGGACACCAGGCCCCAGCTCCAGCCGCCTGAGGTCCTTGATGGGGGCAGGGAAGGGTGGTCCGGGTGAACTGGTCATCTTGTCCCTGCACCTGCGGGCCAGAGGTGTTTCTCGTTGCAGGGAGCATGTGGTGGGGCCGAGACTGATCTTCAGTGTGGGAAGTCTCCCAGCTGGACGGCCAGGTTGATGGGTCCATTCTGAACATGGCACAGAAGAAGGTCTATCGGACTCCTCTATACTCAGCTCCAACCAAAATCATTGGCAGAAGCAGTGAGAACTGGGGACAGAGGGTTTATCCTCGTGTTCCTTTCTAACTGGCTGCACTTCGAAGCAAGTCACGCTGCAGCCCCCTGCCCCTGTGGATGGAGCCCAGGCAGGAGAGCTATACTGTGCTATGGGACTCCGCCTCCCTCTGGAGCCTGGGGATGAGGAGGTGCTGTCCACTGCTGCAGGGACTGCTGGACTCGGGTGCCAGAGCACTGGCTGGCTGGGACTTCTCCCCCTGGACATGTCCAACGGATGCTCGTGCGAGCAGGGTCTCCTCTGCCACAGACCCTCGCCCCGTAGCATCACGCAGCCTGGTTCTCCCACCTGGCTTCTGAAAGTGAAGCGAGCCTGAGGATCATGGAGGACTCCCGGGGCCGGGTGGCAAGGGTGTGGGGGGTGGGGGCGGGGGCGGGCAGCGGAAGCACACAGACCCGGGCGGGGGTGGGGGGGGTGCTGCTAGTCCCTGCAGGGCTCCAGACTCACAGGCCCAGCGAGTCCTTCATGTCTAGGCGTCCAGGCATATGTTTACTGTGAAACAGATGTTGAACAACAGTGTTTCCAAGACTCAAATAGTGAACTCACCAGCACTTTGAAAGGAATGCACTGTTCCAGAACCTTCAAGAATTCCACATGTAGAACCTATATTGGATTAAATTCATTTATTATCATAAAGTTAATCTTTCTGATTTCCAGTGCAATCATAGTTCTTTGTCCTTGTTTCCCTCTACCATCAAGTCACTAATTCTGCTCAGAAGATGGATTCATGTGTCCCTTGGTTCCTGCACACCTGGGGGAGGGGGCAGTCACAGAGGGGAGAGGGGCCACTTCCCCGTGGCAGGGCTGCTCTGCAGGGTGGGGAAGGCAGGCCCTGTGGTGCGGGTCATCCCAGGTTTCTGTAAGGGCAGCGAGGAGCCCTGGGGAGGTTGGGGGTGGGACGTGACCCAGTTGGCTTTTGGCCAGGCTGCTTGCTGTGTGGGTGGTGGACTGAGGCAGGGTGAAGGGTGCGAGGAGGCAGCAGCCTGGGGAAGCACGGTGTGGCCAGAAGTCCGCGGTTGCCCTGGGGTCCCGGTGTGCCCCCCTCTCTGTGCTGCTCTGTCCTTCACGTGGATGTGTGAAGCCCCGGAGAGTGAGGGCCCAGGGGCCGGCGTGGGGCCTGGCCGCAGCTGCATGCTCACTATGTCTTCGTGGGGAGCTCTGGCCCCTTCCTCAGCCACTTGCTGCGTGGACGCTGCCCACTGGGCGGCCCAGCGCAGCCTGGCTCGGGGTGATGGGGCTGGAGCGCACCTCCTAAGATCTGTCTTCAAAACTGGCTGCCCTGGACCCTAAGTGCCCTTGCACTCAGGAGACCAGAGACCGTCCCCCGTGCTCACAGCCCCGTGACAAGAGGACCACCACCATCCCTGATTCACGAGGCCAAAGCCCAGACACCCTGGGCTGGGACCACCGGATGCGACCCCTCCAACAGCCCGGTCCATCCAGCCTGCAGAGGGTGACCCCGCACCCTCCCCGCCTGCCCCCTCCCATCGGGGAGCCGGGGGGTGGGACCTGACTGCCGCCTGCCGGGCACGGGGCGGGGACCAGTGGTGTGCCCCGCCCGCCAGCCCGCCCTCTGCGGTGGCCGTCCGGGGGCGACACGTCCTAGGAGCGCCAGACGGAAGCGCCGCTGGGACTGACACGTGGCCTTGGGCGGCGCTGCCCTTGTGGGTCGGCCGGGCAGGAGCGCGACCTGGACGCGCTGTGCCCGTGGGCAGCCGTCCCCGATGCAGCCGTTGCCACCGGAGGAGGCCCGCCGGGACGGGGCCGAGGACACCCAGTGGTCCAGGTGGGGCCGTGGTGCTGGGGGCGGTGGCTTGGGGAGGGGGCGAGGCCACCGTTCCTCCACCAGGGGTTGCGCACTTCCCTGGCGGTCCCCACACCGTACCCAGCCCCAGCCCGGGACTTCCATCCAGTCCCAGGGCCGGGAGTGCCCCCTGAGCCGCCTCCAGGCAGGAGTATCCCGGGAGGCCTTCCCAGGGGCAGCGGCCGTCATCCTGAACGGTGTAGAGGGAGCCCCCAGGCGCAGCTTCGAGTCCTAGAACTGACCCTGCCAGGCAGGACGGCGCGGGATGGCGCGCGTGTCCAGGCCTGAGAGCAAGGAGCAGCGCGGTCACCGACAGGGCAGGCGACAGGGCAGGCGGGCTCCGGTGCTGGAGTCTGCAGCCCGGTGGCTGAGGCCTGGGCCCGCCTGCCAGCTGTGTGCTGCGGACCGCGCTCCATGGGGGGACCGTGGGGGCCCAGGCAGATCCTTATATTCCATGTCCATGTCCACTGCCAACATGCCCAAGTTCCCAGGGCAGGAGCTCTGCTCACACTCGTGACACATCCCAGGGCAGGAGCTCTGCTCACACTCGTGACACACGCGGCAACCAACACCCAGGTGGGGACCGTGGGGAGTCCCCAGACCACCTGCCTCGGCCCTTGCTCTGTTCTGTGGACCAAGCCACACAGGCCAGCCCCTGGACCCCAGGCCCAAAGTCGGGCCCTGGGATGGCAAGGCCAGTCCACCCGCAGCTCAGGGCCCAGGAGCCGGTGTCGGGGGCTCGGCCGCTGCTCCCGCAGGGTGACGGCTCCTTCCTGACGGCACAGGGTTGCAGGAGGCCCCTGGGGCAGAACCCCTGAGACGGGGCACGATGGAGACAGGCTGGGAGCCTCCCGTGGGACGGGGTGTGGAGAGTGGGGTGCAGGCCCCGTCCCCGGGCCGGGCCCCACCGGAGCAGAGCACTGCAGCCGGCTCCCCGGGTCCAGGAGCGCTCCGCCGCCTGCCCAGCTCTCGTCCTCCCTCCCCGCCTTCCCTTCCCTGCCTCGCTGTCATCTCACCCTGGTTAAGGAGGGGCCGACCCAGGGGGCGGGCCGGCTCCTCGGCCATCTGGGCAGAGGGTTGTGGCCCAGGGCTGCAGAATGTTCTGTTTCAGTGGCTCGGGCCGGCCCTGCCTTAAGGACTTCCCTCTGCACTTGGCTCAGGAAGGAGCACCTGCAGCTCCCCGGGACCCTGGCAGGCAAGACAGCCAGAAGTTCCGGAGGGGTCTGTGGGGTCCTGGGTGCAGCTGGGCTCAGCTGGGACGGGCCAGTCCCACCCGAGGGGACAGTCGTACTCAGCCGCAGCGAGTGTGGCTGCTCACTGCTGCCAACGTGGTGTGCCGTGGTGTGCCCTCTGCGCCGACCGCCGCGCGACTCTCCCCTGAGCCCCGGGGGGCAGGGCCACCACTCTCCAGCAGCATCCCTGGGGGCGGCGGCCAGTGGCCTCGGGCCTGCGTGTTCTCTCCGGCTTGCTGCCCTCCTGGCCTGTAGCGGCGGCACATTTCCCTTTTCCGAGTCGAGGGGCCACGTGACCATGCGTTTACTCAGCCATGGATGCTTCTTATGCCCATGGGGGCGTTGGGAGGATGCAGAAGGTTCTAGAAGGTTCACAGGAAGCGTTCTGATGAGCTGGGGACACAGACCTGAGGCTCAGGACCGGTCAAAGCAGGATGAAGCCCCGCTGGCCAGTGGTGCCGTCGACTGTTCCCCAACGGTCATCCGCAGGGTCCAGGCGTCTGGGTGCGGCGTCCTAACCCGCCCTTGGGCAGCTGTCGGGTCTGGGTTGCCGCCTCCAGCCAGACTTCCTTGTTCTGTGTCCCCAGCAACTATAGAGAGGAAGTCCCGCTGCCTGCCTAGCTGGCTCTGCCCGGGGGGCCTCTGGGACCGTGCCCCATGCGCACTCTGAGCGTCGGTTGCCCGCACGCGGATGGGCTTTTCCTGGCTTCCCGGGGTCATGAGGGGGCCAAGGGGCAGCACCATGTCCTAGGCCCCCCAGCCGGCCCCTCCGGGGTTTCTAGCTGGACCTCCCACCCAGAGAGCAAACACAGCCAGGCTCTCGGGGTCACCAGTGACACGCGCCTGAGGGCAGGTGGGCAAGCTGGGGCACGTGCCAGTCTGGGTGCGGGTGACCGTCCACCGCTTTGACCACAGAAAGGAATGAAGCTCCTTTTCGGAGGCACCTCTGGACCGCGGCTGTCCGTGGGATGTTGAAAGCGTTGCTCCCGCGCCCTGCCATCGTCCCGGGGCACTCGGGCAGGACCACACACGCTCAGAGGGCTCCAGCACCGGGCGCGGCGTGGGCCCCCCAGGATGCGGGGCGTGGGGCCACGGCAGGGCAGGCGTGCCCCCGGCGCTCCTCCTCGGGCTGCAGCCAGCTGGGCTCCGGCCGGCCTGACGGGCAGCTTGGACTGTGTAGCTCTGTGCCTCCCTAGTGAGGCCAGCGGGCACGTTTGCTCAGGAGCAGCGACCCCGACAGGCCTGCTGCCCCGGGATGGACGCCCGGGTGAGGCGCTCCCGGGGCGGGTTTAGTCAAGTCCCAGGGATGAGCACCCGGGAGACGTTGGGAGTGTCGTGTCCAGGAGGAGATGCAGGCCCGAGCCCACGAGGGGTCCCAGGTCCATGTCAGGTGGGCCCTGAATGCCACCTGGGAGCTCACCTGCCTGGCAGGTGCCTGTCGCCTGTCCCCTGCCCCCACCGCCTCATAGACTTTGGTTCCAGACAGAAAACTAGTGTCTGGGCCCTGAAGCCCAGAGGGAGAGTCGGCGAGCTGCCCTGTGGGTCCACCCGTCCACGTTGGCGTGTCAAGCAGGGGAGGCCGTGGGGACGGGTCGGGTCTGCCCCTGCGCTGCTATTCCCATTGTCTTGGCTTCTCAATCATTCCAGTAACATTTTAAGAACCAGGACGTGGGGTGGGGGCATGATGACGAGGAGTCACGGGGAGTCTGGGTGGAGCACCTCCCAGCCTCGGGAAGCAGGGTCTGGTGTCCGGCTCCCAGGGTTACAGAACTGGGGGTATTTTTAGCTCAGGACCCTATTTCCCACTGGCCTCATGTGGGATGTTCCATCATGTAGGAGCAGGGAGCAGCGGGGGGGGGGCGGAGCCCTGCACCCCGCACCCCTCTGACACCCAGAGACCTAGCTTGAGGTCCACGCTCCCACTGCTTCACGGTGCGCGTGGAGGAGCGCCAGCCCCGCGAGGCCAGCGGCACCCACGCCTCTCCCCCTGGAGCGTTCTCTAAGGGGCCACACCACACCCCCAGCCCCAAGCAGGCCTCAGATGCGGGGCGGCTTGCGGACAGAAAGCCAGGCTGTTGGAACTTGGACTCGTTCGCCCCAAAAGCCCCGAGTGACAGTGCCCCACAGACGGGGGTGTCTGCGGCCTCTGAGGACATGGCTCCCTGGCTGTGGGGGCGGCAGGGAGGGAGGGATGGCCCCAGGGCGCCCGTGGTCGGCCCCTCCGCACACCTGATGCCCAGGGAGTACCTCCTCCTCCGCGACTGTGGCTCTCCAGGGGGATGGACCCCATGGGGACATGCCAGCCCGAGGTCATGGACTCGGCTGCCGCAACTCCCTCCCGGCGGTCACGACGGCCCCTTGGTGGACATTGGGAACTTGCTGGTCGCTCTGCTGTTTACCGACCCGTGCAGGGGGCAGATGTCAGGGGCAGGAGCCCTTCTTCATGGGGGAAACTTGTTCCGTGTCCACGGCCCCGCCCAGAGCCAGGCCCGCCTGCGGGGTCCCAGGCACAGCTGACCCGCCGCCCATCAGGTTCCTGGCATGGGCACCGCCCGCAGCCACGTGGGGGTCCTCAGGCCTGGGAGGTCTCCCTGGGGAGAACCGCGCCCCACACCTGTGTCCCACTGGGGCCGTCAGGTGCGGGTGGGAGCCCTAAGCTCCCCGCCAGTCTGCTTCAGGCCCCCCGCGGTCCTGACCACCCCCCATGGTGCCACCGCACGAGACGTGGCCAGCCGCCCGTCCCCACCCGCACGAACGCTGCCCACAGCTCCCTCCCTCTCCCGTGGCTGCAAAGTAAACTTTGTCTCTGGGGACAGTTCTTGGTTTCTGGAGTCCCTCCGAAGGGTCACCTCCTGCCACATCTTCCGTCAGCGAACGTCCGCACAGCAGGGGCAGCCAAGCTCACAGTTTGTTCAGATTTCTGCCACTTTTTCTGCTGCCCAGGACACATGGGGTTGCCATCTCCTTGTGGCTGGGACAGTTTCTGACGTCCCCGGGTCTCAGCGACAGTCACAGAGCAGTGACCAGGAGTTTCAAGGACCATCATCCCCCTAGGGACACCTGACTAGTGACCTCCCCGGGCATCCAGAGCTGCTTCCCCTCACCCAGGTTCTCCAAGGGCCGGCTGCCCCGGGGGCACCGTGTCCCCTTGCTGGCCGTCCAGCCCTTGGTCCTGCCCCTTGGTCCTCTGTGGGGAGGCACCGTTTTCCTGGGGACCCTTTGGGGACCCACTGTCCTGCTCCCTCCCTGTGGGTGGCCCTCCCTCAGCAGGGCCCCCGGTTACTGAGCTGTCAGCTGCTGCCCGGCACCCTCCTGGGCCCCCCGATCGTTGGGACGTGGGTGCTTGGATCCTGGCCGCCAGTCCAGAGAGCACGTCCCTCCTTCCGCGGTTTGTTCACCTGCCCTTCTGGCCGCCCGGCTGTCCCCAGGCTCTGCTGTTGCGGGCGGCTCGCTCCTAGTACCTGCCCTGCGGTCGGAGGGGGCCCCACGCGCAGGGGGACCTAGGTGTTGGAAGGTGGCCACGCTGCCCCTCCTCAGCCTGATGCGGCGCCTTCTCTCCTGCAGGCCCGAATGCCAGGTGTGGACAGGGACGCTGCTGCTGGGCACATGCCTCCTGTACTGTGCCCGCGTCAGCATGCCCGTGTGCACCGTGTCCATGAGCCAGGACTTCGGCTGGAACAAGAAGGAGGCCGGCATCGTGCTCAGCAGCTTCTTCTGGGGCTACTGCCTGACCCAGGTGGTGGGCGGCCACCTGGGGGACCGGTAACGGCTGCCGCTCCCCACGCAGGGCTGGGGCTGCTCCTGGGGGCGGCGGCTCCCGTGGAACGGATGAAGGGAGAGGCCCCGGCCAGGACAAGACCGTGGCGGGGGAGCCGGGGTCCTCGGGGGAGGTGGTCGGGGCCGGTGCACGGCTCCCCTTGGGCCGCGTGGCCAGAGCACCAGCTGCCCGGCGGGGTGCTCGTTGGCACCGACGGACAGCGGGACCCGGCCCCCAGCGCCCGCCTCTCCTGCAGAGGAGGGTAAGGCCCAGCGGCCCGGCCGGGGCTGCGCTGAGCGAGGCGTGTAGCACACCGGGGCTCTGAGCCCTCCGCCGCGCAGCTCGCGTCACCGTCCTCCTGTCCTCCTCCAGGATCGGGGGTGAGAAGGTCATCCTGCTGTCCGCCTCCGCCTGGGGCTTCATCACTGCCGCCACCCCGCTGCTCGCCCACCTCAGCAGCGCCCACCTGGTCTTCATGACCTTCTCTCGCATCCTCACAGGCTTGCTCCAAGGTAGGGCTGCCCCCACCCGCGGTCTCAGCCACGGTAGAGCAAGGCGGGTGTGCGCGTGTCGTCCACATGTGTGTGTGCGCGTGGACGTGCTCATGCAGGTGGGTGCACGTGTGTGCACATCCCTGCACTCCCATGTGCTCCCGCGTGTGGCGTGCCTCAGGTCAGCGGCGGGGGATCCGGGTGGCCCCTGATCCGGTCCCGGGAGCCTCCAGCCTGGCGGGCGGCAGCTGTCCTCGTGGGCGGTCTGGCCCCGGGCAGGGGTGGACAGACCCCGCTGCCCCCGGCGGGCTGCTGGGTACCACAACGCCCGGATGGGGAAGTGCTGTGTGTTCTCTAGAAACACCTCAAAGTCTGGCACGTTCTCATGTCAGATGCCCTCCTCTGCCAAATGGTCTACTGCGCAGACACGGGTGGCAGCCCGGTGGGCACGCGGTCACTGTCAGCGCCACTGGCCCTGGCGCAGCGAGGACTTGCAGAGTTTCCACGTGCTGCTGGGCAGAGGCTGCCCCTGGCCCAAGCCCCCCAGGACCGCATGGGTCGCTATTTCCTGACCAGCCCCACCGGTCTGGCTCATGGGCCGTCAGCTCTTGTCCACCCCAGGTGCTCCCCGGTGGCCGGTGGCTGGTGCCGCATCTGGGCTATAGGACACCGACTGGGGTTTCTAGGCTGGAGCTGGCTCTCGGAGCAGCCGGCCAAATGGCCCTCAGCCCTGGCCATGTCCCCATCTTCCCAGGAGGCCCATCTGCGGCCCATTATGGGGTCTCGAGGAGCAGCTGTCACTCTGGGTGACTGGCGCTTGGCGTGGGCCTGGGCACAGGGCCCCGATGGGAGGCCCAAGCCCTGTCTTCCCCCCTGGCCTCTTAGCTTTTCCTCGTGCTTTTAGAGAAAAGCACAGAAAACATCAGATTTTGAAATCATTGTAGATTCACAGGAGGTTGTAAGGAAACATACAGGGAGGTCCAAGCTCCCTCCCCCCTTCCCATGTGACATCCGCAGCAGCAGGGCACCCGTGCTCCCCAGGTGGCTCCGACCTCACTGGCTGCACGCGTGCCGTGGGTGCCCGTGTGTGTGTCGGTGCCAGGGCCCTGGAGCTGGTGCAGCCCCGGGGCCAGGGGCGGGTGGGAGGAGTGCCAGCTCGGAGCCCGCCTTCCCCACAGCCTCGCTGGCCGCGTGACCGTGGGCAGCCACCAGCAGCCCCACACTGAGAGTCTCGGCAGAGAGGGGCTGAAACCTAGTCTGGCTGGTCCCCTGGGCATGAGGTGAGCAAGGACACCCCAAGCTTGAGTGACCCTCGTGGGCCCCAGGGGCAGCCTCCCAGCCTGGCTCGCAGCCCTGGCCGGACCCGCCCGCCGGACCCAGGTGACTGCCTGGGGACACAGCTCTCTGCTCGTTTCAGGGGTGTACTTCCCGGCGCTGACCAGCCTCCTGTCCCAGAAGGTGCGAGAGAGCGAGCGCGCCTTCACCTACAGCGCCGTGGGGGCTGGCTCCCAGTGCGGGTAGGTCCCGGCCCAGTGAGCCCAGGGGGACAGAGGGTGCCCGGTGGGTCCGGGCGGAGACAGGCCACGTGGGCGTGTTGCAGCTCAGGGTGACGTGGGTGGGCTGGTCCTGTGCCACAGGAGACCTCATCCCCGTGCAAAGTGCTTCTCTCGCACATCTTCTGTGCCTGGTGCCAGGGCAGGTGACCTGGCTGAGTCTCGGCAGGTGGGCTGGGGCAGCAGCCGCGCCAGCGAGGCCCCTTCCACCTGTGCCAGGGGAGCCAGATGGGACGCCGCCCCACTGGGGGAGGTGATCCATGCTCCCTGGAGGGCACCCGGCCCAGTCTGGACATGAGAACCCTGTCCCCGTACTCCCGCACGACACCTTGCTTGGGGAGAAAAGCCACGTTGCTGTGCTGATGGGGCTTCGCTCCACTGGGCTCAGGCCCCTGAAGTCCCCACTGCCACGATGTAGGCAAGAAATCAGCGGGTCGGGGGTGCCTGTGGGTGCACCAGGGGCAGTCCAGATAAAAACCCAGGGTGCCAGGGAGCAGAAATTCTGGAAGCTGCGTGGGCATGCTTGCATGAGAAGGATGGGCCATTTTTCTGAAACCCTGCCTCACGCGCACGTCCTGGGCCTGTGTCTTGGGCTGTGAGGTGCAGGATGAGGCACTGGCCCCGGAGGCCCCGATGGGGAGGCCACCCCGAGGCTGCTGGCCCCACTCCCCTCTAACCATCCTGGCCGGAGCTCGGCAGACGGCCCGGCGTCGTGCTCAGTTCCGTTGCTTCTGCATTTAGAAATCTTAGCATTTCAGCCTCCCTGAGTCGTGAAGCCGCACAGGCCGGAGGGCTAACTTGAGGCCCCAACGCCATCCCCTCTTCTTCGCCGCCTTGTGTAGTGTAGAAGGAGCCGCAGCTCAACGGGAAGCCGGCCTGAGGGTCTGGAGGCAAGAAACCAGGGCAATGCAGGGCCCTGGGGCCGTGTCGCAGCCGCGTGGCCGTGCCCACGTCCCCCGGGTCCCAAGGCATCCGGAAGGCTCCCGGGTGCTGGAAACGCTCAGCGAAGCACGCTCAGACGGGGGCCTCCGAGCAGCTGCTTCCCTGGGGACGAGCTCCCGGGGGGTGGGGATTCTCGGAGGTGTCGCCGGGGTCACGGGGTCATGGGGTGCCTCTGTCGTCCAGGACGCTGGTGACGGGGGCCGTGGGCTCCCTGCTCCTGGACTGGTACGGCTGGCCGAGCGTCTTCTACTTCTCCGGCGGGCTCACCCTGCTGTGGGTGTGTTACGTGTACAGGTACCTGCTCACTGGAAAAGGTAACCGTGGCCGGGGAGGTGCGAGGGCCTGGCGCCCGTGCCCGCCCGCAGCCGCGCCGCCACCCAGCCCGGGCACCGGAGCGAGCGCCCGCCGGCGGGGCCCCGGACTAGAGGCTGAGGGCCGCGCCAGCTCTCGGGCCGGCTCCGGGCAGAGGCAGGCACAGGCCGCTTGCGGGGCGGCTGGGCCAGGGATGGCAGGAAGGGGGCTTGGGGGTCCCAGGGCAGGGGAAGGGTCGAGAAAGCTTGTTCAGACTCAGCACAAGCGTTGACCCTCAAAGGAACATGCTGAGGCGCCGGCCGGGAGGACAGGAGGGGGCGCGCACAGCCGGGGGGCCGCGGGGCTGGGGGCGCGTGGCCGGTCGGCTGCAGGCGACACTGTGCCCCGACTCTGAGTAGCCTTCACGCGGAAACCCCTTGCTCCCCTCAGAGCTCATCCTGGCCTTGGGCGTTCTGGCGCAAGGCCTGCCGGTGTCCAGGCACACCAAGGTTCCCTGGAGACAGCTCTTCCGGAAGCCTTCCGTCTGGTGAGTGGCGCCTCGGGACCTCGCGCTGAGCCCACGCGGGCGAGGTGCACCCTCGGCGGGGGGCGGTGCTCCGGGGCCCCGTGTGCGGGCGGGGCACTGAGCCAGGCACCTGCTCCCCAGGGCAGCCATCTCCTCCCAGCTGTCGTCCGCGTGCTCCTTCTTCATCCTCCTCTCCTGGCTGCCCACCTTCTTTCAGGAGACATTCCCCAGCTCCAAGGTGGGTGGGCCGCCTGGCGCTCGCGGGCTGAGGGAGGACCCCGCAGCCAGTGCCCGGCACGCACGTGGGCCCTTGGTTCCGCCTGGACTCTGCGGGCTCTGGCACCGCGGGGGCTCACGGCCCCGAGACGACCCTCACGGTTGGCGCCTCTGGCCTGGTGCACGCTGGGAAGGACAGGGCAGCGCCCCCCCCCCCGCCGCGGCATCCCCCCCCCCCGAGGGACCGTGTGTGGCCGCCCCGGCGCTATCTGTGGATGGTCACTTCTGAGGATGGGGCAGGCGGGGGTCCTGACCTGGGCAGGGGCACCACCATCTGGCCACCCCGCGTCCCCCCGTCCCAGGGTGGGCCTGCACCCCCAGCTCAGCCCTGTCTCGGTGCAGGGAGCCATGAGGGACTCGGCCTGCAGGAGACAGTGCTCGTGGACCTCGGCCTGGTGGGGACAGTCAGGGTCACTGTGGGCGTTGCTGGGCGTGTGCAGCCAGCTGGCCCCTGCAAGCTGTCCCCTCTGATGCCCCCTCCTCCCTGCAGGGCTGGGTCTTCAACGTGGTGCCCTGGCTGGTGGCCATCCCCGCCAGTCTGTTCAGCGGGTTCCTCTCTGACCATCTTATCAATCAGGGTGAGCCTGGGTCAGGGGCTGCGGGGAACCCACTGGCTTTGCCACACTGTGGGGGGAGGGAGGCGCCCCTCCTGGGCGGTCTACAGTGATGGGAAGGGGCCCCTCAGGGCCTCGCAGGCCGCGTGGGACTCCGGGTGGCCTCCCCCAGCCTCAGTTTCTCCGAGGGCCTTGGGGTGCAGGAGAGGATTCTGTGACGGTGGCGTCCCCCCACCCCGGGAGGCTGGGTGCGGCCCCGACCCCATTCAGAGGAGGAAAGGCCCCTTGGTGAGGTCAGAGGTCATAGGTCCAGGTGTGTGTGTGAGCCCAGGACAGACGCTCTGCTGCGCTGTGCACGTGCGCTCACTCCTAGATGTTAGTCCTTCCTAGTTACAGGAGTGCTTCACGCTCATTGTGGAAAAAGGAGAGGACTTGTAGGAACTCGAGGAAAGCGCACTGGTAACCCTCCAGCCGCTTCCTCTGGGCACGCGCTGGACCGTGGCCTGCAGAACCCTTTGGACACACGCAGCACAGGGTACATGCGCGCACACACACGTGCACACGCCTCCCGCACGACACGGGACTCCCCACCCTGAGCCCGGGGCCCGTCCCTCCCCAACCTGCTCCCTCGCTGTAGCCGTGCCGGCTGGGGCCCCACGCAGGTGCCAGGTGCCCGCAGGGGCTCAGCACTAACGGGCCGATGGGAACGCGTCCCTGTCTCCCCTCTGCCCAGGTTACAGGACCATCGCCGTGCGGAAGTTCATGCAGGTAGGGAGGGGGCCGAATGGCTTTCTCTGGACGTCCCTATTTTGTTCCTGGGACCGAGGGTCGTGACGTCCAGTCACCGGACCCAGAAAGCATTTGGAGGGTGCCCTGGGTCAGTGCCGGGGTCGCTTCTCCTAGTTGTGCTGTGGGCTCCCTGCCCCTGGGCCCTGGCACACATTCTGGGCCTCAGTTGCTCCCCTTCCCCTCTCGGTCCAACAGGTGGGACGGGCTCATCGTGGGGCCTCCCCGGGGCCGGCCTGGGAGGGGCTCCCCCTGACCTTGTCCAGTGCACCCCAGGTGGCCCCAGGGAGGGCCCCGTTGGCCACCACGGCCCCTGGCCTGCCATCACCCCCCTCCCGCAGGTGATGGGCCTCGGGCTGTCCAGCGTTTTTGCCCTGTGCTTGGGCCACACCTCGAGCTTCTGTAAGTCCGTGGTCTTCGCGTCGGCGTCCATTGGCCTGCAGACCTTCAACCACAGGTAAGGGCCGGGTGCCCCCCCCACCGCAGCTGCCCCCTGCTGCCCGCAGGCGTCCCCACCACCCTGCACCCTGGATGCATGGGAGAGGCCACCGGGCTGGGGGCATGTGCAGGCGGCATGTGTCAGAGCCCCAGACGAGCCACCAGGACTAAAGGTTCTCTGGGTCCCAAGCAGGCGTGGACCTGGGACCTTAGGAAAAACAAACTTCGAGCCTGGGAGGGGCTGGGGGACGGGCTGCTGGGTCCCATGAGGAGCGCGCTCTGGCCTCAGCTGCTCGGCAGCACCAGCGTTTGACGACGAAAACTGTACTGGAAGTTGTTTTAGGGATCGGCCACTTAATGTCGCTTTTCAAATTAGTAAGCAGCAAACGAGTGTGCATTTGTTTTGTTTTTTAGGGGTTTATTTATTTATTTGAGAGAGAGTGTGTGTGTGTGCAAGTCGGGGGGACAGAGGGAGAGGGAGAGAGAATCTCTGGCCTCGAGCTGGTGCGGCGGGCGCCCCGGCGAGGCCTCGGGCCCTGGACTGATGGGCACCCTCGTGCCCTGGCTGGGCTGGCTTCTGAGTGTGCCCCGGGTAGTTCCCAGGCTGCAGGTGCTCAGAGGACCCGCCCCGGGCCCGGTGGGGTGGCAGCCGCCCTGGGGTCACTCCTCTCTCTTTCCCACAGTGGCATTTCGGTCAACATTCAGGACCTGGCTCCGTCCTGTGCCGGCTTCCTGTTCGGTGAGAGCCGCCCCCTGCTTGAACGACACGTGGCTGTTCCGCACCCTGGCATTGGTCACCCCAGCCTTGCCCCCCGCCTGGGCCCCCAGGGGCTGCCCCCAGCGGGTGGGCCTCCTGTGACCATTCCTCCTTCCTGTTCACAGGTGTGGCCAATACCGCCGGGGCCTTGGCAGGTGAGAGGCGGGCTGGGGTGCCTCCCGGCCGCCCCGGCCCTGAGTCCCCCCAACCCCTCCCGCACCCCAGCCCTTTGGGGGGGCTCCTTCGGGGCCCTCCAGGGTCAGACCCGTGGGGCGGGGAGGGTGCCTGGCGAAGCAGCCATGTGCCACGGCATGTACCCCGATCCCCTGGCCTGAAGGTGTGCGGGCTCCGGGGGGGAGATGTGGGGCTCATTCCCCACGGGGGTGCAGACCTATCCCGGGCAGTTCCCTGGACACCCCGAGAGGTCCCGGCCCTCCCTTGCCCTGGCAGCCTGGACCCCTGAGTTGGGCTTCTGGCCCCCGGACCCCCGGCCTCCCCTCTCGGAGCCCCACCCCCAGACCCCCTGGGCACTGCCCTCAGGACTGCCCGGGAGCCCTCGGCCTGCCCGCCCCTGTCTGTGCAGGTGTCGTGGGCGTGTGCCTGGGCGGCTACCTCATCGAGACCACGGGCTCCTGGACTTCCATGTTCAACCTGGTGGCTGCCATCAGCGGCCTGGGGCTGTGCACCTTCCTGCTGTTCGGAGAGGCCCAGCGGGTGGACCTGAGCCCCACCCACGAGGACCTCTAGCCGCCCCAGCCTGACCGCTGCCCGAGGACCCAGTGCCGTCCGCCTGCGGGTGATGGGCTCACTTTCAGGGCCTCCCACTCGTGACCCCAGATGTGTGAGCAGAAAGAGGACTAGCCCTGGCTGAGCCAGGCAGCCCTGGGTGGGCCTCAGTTTCTCCACCTGCCAGCGAGGTGATCGTGCCCTCCTTTCAGGGTTCATGGACTGTCGGGGGCGATGGAGTGAGTGTTTTCAGTTTCAGCGGCGTCATTACACACCTAGTCCGTTCCATGTAGATCCACGCGCCTGTGCAGTCACGCCCGTGGGAGCATCACCCTTCCTCGCAGGGGTGAGGCACTGCCGGACTGGACCCTTCCCCAGACCTGCCCTGCTTGGCTTCCTGGGCACGAGGGGGGCTGTCCTGTGTACTGCGGCCGTATCTCTGGCGCCCACCTGCTAGGTGACCACCCCAGTGGGTGGTCATGATCACCAACATTGGCTCCTGGCCACCACCACGTATCCCTAAGAGGACTGCCCCCCCCCGTGGCATTTCTGCTTCTCCAAGCAGCCAGGCGGAAACCCCTATGTCAGTGGGTGGGCTGTGGGCTAGATGCCCTCTCCCGTCTTTGGGGACTCCCTCCCCCCGCATCCCCCGTGAGTCCCTTGGCACTAGTGATGTGTCCTGCCTCCCTGGAGCCTGCGGGCGCCAGCGGTGAGGGGACTGTGGGTCCCTCTCCTGCCGGGGGTGCTCCAGGGACCAGGGAGCCCTCCCGCATCGTCCTCTTGTAGCAGAGGCGCTGGTCATCTTGGGAATTAATAATAGATCTTGCAAGATGTATATGTAGAAAAAAGAAACTAAGAATGTGAAAAAGACTTATTTAAAGGATGGCTATTAAACTGGAAAAGGGAGACTGTTACTTTATTAAATAATTAATTATTTTTAAAAAGATTTTGAGACAGTGACACAGAGAGAGAGAGAGTGAGAGAGCGCGCGCATGCATGGGGAGGGGCAGAGGGGGAGGGAGAAGCAGGCCCGACGCAGGGATTCGATCCCAGGACCCCGGGATCCTGACCTGAGCTGAAGGCAGATGCTTCACAGACGGAGCCCCCCAGGTGCCCGTAACCTTTTTTTTTTAAAAAAAAAGAATAAACATGTATGAAAGATTTGTCGAACTCACTGCCGAGGAGGCAGCCGAGGTTGCAGGCAGGCAGAGGCCAGCAGGCAGGTGCGGGGCAGGCGGTGGCCCTGCCGCCTGGACCCAGCCACTGGCCTTGCGGTGGGCTGCCCGCCACGGGCACCGCGGGATCGAGCCTCAGGGCGCAGGTGCACACCGCAGCATGCAGGGCAGCTTCTGGGGGAGCACATGTTCCTCCCCACGGGGTCCCCACTTTGGGTCAGAAAGAACTGGAAAGAAAGACTCTTGGTTACCGACTGCCTGCGTGGGCCTGCGTGGATTTGGCCCGATTGTTCCCGCGGGGCGCGAGAAATTTACCACCAAGGCCCACGTGTGTGTGCTGCGGGAGGTTTTCCTGAGCAGCCCTGGATGCGAAGGAGCCCAGCCCCGGAGACTCCCCACGGCAGGCGGCGGGGGGGGGGGGGGGGGGGAGGGGGGGCACCAAACACGGGCCTTGCTTGGACCCGTGCTGAGCTCTGCCCTCGCAGCCGTGACCCGGCAGGCGTGCCGCGCAGCCGTCCCCACCAACCGTTCCCACAATCTTTCGCTTTCCCAAACTGAAACTGTCCCCGTGAGACAACATTCCCTGCTGACGGCTGTGGGTGCCCGCCGTCCTCTCCCGCCCTGTGAATGTGACGGCTCTAGGGCCCTCCCGTGAGCGGACTCGGGCAGGATTTGTCCTCCAGGGGCTGTCCTGTCCTGACGTGCTAGCAGGTGTCAGGATTGCCCTCCCTTTCAGGCTCAGGGATACCCCACTGTGTGCACGGCCCCGTCCTGTTCATCCCTTCCTCCGAGGACGGGCCCTGGGGTTGTTTCCACCTCTTGGCGGTTGGGAACGATGCAGCTGTGAACGTGGGGGTGTCTCTAACCCACAGCAAGCCGAGAGCCGAGAGACAAGCGAGGAGCTGGCCCTGTCGCACCCGGAGCCCCTGAAGGAACGTGGGACCCAGGAGGGGGGGGGGAGCTAGGACACACGTGCTAAACCGAGGCCACGTCGGGTCCCCTTGGGTCACTTCCTCGACGTCAGAGGAGGGAGGCCGGCCTGCGGGATTCGATTTGGGGGCACAGTGGTGCGCGGCAGGGGGACCCAGCTGCCGTCCTGGTGGGGGCTGCCACCCTGGAGTTGGGTGCGGGCTCCCTAACCCTTCCCAAGGCCACTGTTGGATCCTGGCCGGGGCTCCCCCGAGTCTGGGGGCGATGGTTGCTGGCGGGGAGGCGCTGGTGGCGAGGCGGGTGCTCAGGCAGGGTGGGGGCCCCGCGGGGCGCTGGGTTGGCTGCTGCACGCAGGCTCCGACAGTCCCGACCCGGTCAGCAGCTCTGGCAGGGCCACCTGCGCACCGGTGCCCCCCTCCCCGCACCTGGGCGCCTCTGGAGGCCCAGGCCCCGCCGCCCGCCGCTGGCCGACAGAGGGCGCCGTCTGACCGGCCCGGAGCCGCGGTCCCCGCCGCCTCTGCCGCCCCGCGGGAGGCGCCCCGGCTCCGGCCGCGCGGTCCCCTCCGCTGGGCTCCGCTGGAGGGACTGTTGACGGAGGTCCCAGTGCACCCAGTGCAGGGGCGCGGGCGGCGTGGGCGCGTGCGCGGGGCCGCGGCAGCAGGGGCGGGGCCGGGGCGGGGCCGGCATCAGGGGGCGGGGCCGGGGCGGGGCCGGAGGGCGGCATCCTCAGGGGCGGGGCGGCGTGGGGGCGGGGGCGGGAGGGCGGGAGGGCGGGGCCGGGGCTGCAGGGGCGGGGCCGGCATCAGGGGCGGGGCTGGAGGCCGGCGTCCTCAGGGGCGGGGCGGGTTGGCGGATGGGCGGGGCCGGGACAGCAGGGGCGGGGCCGGGGGCGGGGCCAGCATTGGGGGCGGGGCGGGGCGGGGATGGGCGGGGCCGGGGCAGCTGGGGCGGGGCCAGGGGCGGGCCTGCATCAGGGGCGGGGCGGGGGCGGGGTGCCAGCAGGGGGCGGGGCGGGGCGGGTCGCCATCAGGGGGCGGGGCCGGGGCGCAGGGGGCGGGGCGGGGGCGGGGCTGGGGGGGCCGGCATCCTCAGGGGCGCGGGCGGTGGCGGGGCGGGCGGATGGGCGGGGCCGGCATCAGGGGCGGGGCCGGGGCGGGGCTGGGGGCGGCACCCTCAGGGCCGCTTGGCGTGGGCGCGGGGCTGCCCTCCCACCTGAGCAGGTGGGCAGGCAGCCTGGGGGAGTTTAGACTCCGGGACTAGTGGCCTCCACCCCGTTCCCCCCCCCCCCGTGCTGGCCCAGGCTTCCCCGAGGGCCTGTGCTCGGACCCCGCTGCCCACGCAGGTCTCCCCACCCTCCCACCTCCCCGAGCACGCGCAGGACCGTCCCTTTCTGGTCCCCGTGACACTTCCCCCTCATTTCTTTCTGTCTCTTCTTCCTCTTCTTTCTCCTTTAGTTTTTTTAATTTATTACTTTTAAAGATTTTATTTATTTATTTATTCATGAGAGACACAGAGAGAGGCAGAGACACGGGCAGAGGGAGAAGCAGGCTCCCTGCGGGGACCCCGACGCGGGACTCGATCCCAGGACCCCGGGGTCACGGCCTGGGCTGAAAGCAGGTGCTAAACCGCTGAGTCCCCCCCCCCCCAGGGATCCCCATAAAGCAGGATCTTTAAAGACCACTTAAGATTCGTGCCTAACATGTTGACAGCCCCCCACCTGTCTGGGCTGCCCCCCACCCCCGCTTCTGGCTCTGTCCTTCAGCTGTAGGACTGCAGCACCCCGGGGGTCCCCACTTACCCCCGGGGGACGCCTGCACACCCATCCTCCTGGGCGGGTCCTGCCTCATAACCGGTGGGTCGCGCCCTGACCGGCTGCACTGAGCCGTCCGGTCCCCCTCCTCTGGCGCCCAAGGAAGCCGAGATGAGCTACATGTTGGGATGCACTTTGACTGGGATTTATTTTATTATGTTTAATTGAAAAGCACTGAGGTCATGGCATGAATATTCAGCACAGCGGCTGCGGGCACGGGAGCTGGTGTCTGATTCTAGGACGCGCCCCAGCACGGGGCCTGTCAAAGGGGGGAGTGAGGTGGGGAAGCTATTAATTGAAATAGCTTCATTAATTAGTAATTAACAGCAGGGAAATGACTGTGTCACACGTCCTATTTCAGTGGATGCCCTTCATGTGTTATGGCGCCTTTAATTAAAGGACGTGCATTTTAATTAAAGGCAAGCGTGGCCCTTTGGCCTTTGGAATACAAAAGACACTCCCGACTTTCCAGGAGCTGGCGGGGAGACTGGTGCAGGCAGAGCCGAGCCGCATCCTCCCATGTGGGACCGCTTCCCCTTCCGACCCGTCCCGGGCAGTGGCCCCAGTTGGTCCTCCCTGGAGTCCAGCAGGTGCCCTCCCTGAGCTGAGGTGGTGGCCCTGGGCAGCTATGTGAGGTCACAGGCCAGAGCTGCTGGCCCTGAGCAAGTGGCCCCGCTGCCCCGTCATCCCGAGAGGAGGGGTGGAAGCGGAGTGAAGACACCCCGGGGCCGTGCTGCCCCCACGCCCTGCACCTGCCCTGGGCTCCGCATCTCTGCCTTTGCAGGCGGGTGGGCGGCCGGAAGGCCCAGCGCTGTACCTGGCAGGGGACGGCCCCTCACACCCTGCCGGTCAGGTGTGGCCTTGCCTCCTCACAGGGAGGCAGCCACCAGCCACCAGCTGCCTGCAGACACCTCACAGTGCCTCCTGCCAGCCTCCTCCCACCAACAAAGATGTCAATACCCCGCACCCCTGTCCTGCTCTCTCTGCCTCTGCCCCTCACCCCGACCACCTACTGGAATGACTCTTGCGCAAGTCACCTGGCCCGGGTGCAGGGTCCTCTGCCCTCCCTCTGTTGGGCCTGGCAGAAAGACCAGCCCAGGGGGAATGGGGACAGCTGTGGCGGAAATCCCGGGCCCCACTGCATGACCAGCCACCAGGCAGCTCCGTGCCCCTCATGGCCGCAGACCCGTCTGCCCCGAGAAGCCCCAAACGCCACCGCTCTAGATGGGCTCTGAGACCAGAGGTGGCTTCTGGGGTAGGCCAGGAAGGGCTCCCCTGTGACACTGGGTCTTTGGAGCCCACCAGACCTTGGGGGGGGAGACACGAGGGAGGCCCCGGCACGCACGGGGACAGGGAGAGGCCCCCTAGCTAACCGCGCAAGGAGCCCCCGGCAGGATGGCCCCGAGGAACCCCTGCAAACCCCCTGGTACAGAGGCCGCCAGAGAGAACACAAGGAAGGTAGCCGGGGTTTCGGGTGATCGGTTGGGATTCCCTGGGGAGGGAGGAGGAGGTGAGCCCGTCCAGGTGGGGCTGGGGTGTCCAGCTGCACCTGGGCTGGGCCTGCGATGGGCTCGTGGGAGACTGCAGGAGGGCCCGGCGGCGCCCAGCTCTGGTTAGCAGCCACCTTTGGAGGGTCCCCGCGCTCTTCGGAGGCCCAGTCTTCGCTCATGATTGTGGCTCGGAGAGAATCTGACGGATGCCCACTTCCTACCCCTCACAGAAGCGGTGCCTGCCTTTGCTCAGGTGGACAGAGGACCCAGGAGCCACTTTAGGAAAGAGCCAGGAAAGTGGCTGTGCCAAGGACAGACCAACGGAGCCGCCACTAAAAATGCCAGGGACGTGCGGCATGAAATACAGCCTGTCCAATTAAATTATTTAACGCATTAGCATTAATTGCCATCCTGCGGACCTGTGCGCCGTTTGCGTTTTCCTCCTCCTTTGGCTTAGAGAGCCTCCGGCCAGCGCTCAGGCTGGGAGTGACGTTTCCTCTTTCCTCCTG